TCCCTACACCAACATAATTTCTTACATTCTAAATACATATCCTTATACTTACAGACAAGTGTATCTTTCACCACTCATCAGACAATCTTCTTTTTACAACAGATGGAGACTATTACAAAGTTCCACAACTGATCAAATGTAGAGAATAAGTAACTGTGAGGTGCCCAGCCCTAAGTGACACATCTACAATGTGTCTATACCTAAGGCTCACAGAATAGTGCAGAAAAAGGGGTGGAAAGAATGTAAAATCCAGAGGGACAAGACACCTGCTGTTAGATAATGCATTCTAGACATGATAAGAAAGCTACAATAATGAAATCCACAGTATGGTAACATAACAAGATCTGCATAATGGCAAAACCAGTTGACATGCCAAGGTGGACGGGGGAAAGTCCATGGGGTCCCACCTCAAGATGAAGAGCTACAGGTAATCAATGGATGCTGAGGGAGGGAGAATCAGTTTTCTCCAGGGACAAGCTCCCTGAGAGATTTTCTAACCCTAAGTGGGCAGCCCTAGACACAGGTACACATGAGCACTACTAAATAGACTCATTGGTCATGGAAGCAGTTAGAGGGGGATTTGAGAGATGCAAAGATAATACTCATGTATGAAATTCTCAAAAATAAAGAATTTTATTATGATAAGAAAAAAAAAAACCTCCTATGCTATGATTTTAATGTTTATGTCTCCATGTGGCAGGCTTTAGAATCAACCAAAAGACAAAACTGTGCGTCTATGAGTGTCTTTCCAGAGAGCTTCCAATGATATGGGAAAACCTGTCCTAGATGTGTGTGGCACCGTTCTATGGTCTGAGTAAACTGAGAAATTCATGAGTGCAGCACCAGCATTCATCTCTCTCTGCTTCCTGACTGCAGACACAATGTGGCCATCTGCCTCCTGCCCCTGCCACGACGAACTATTTCCTCAAACCATGAGACAAAATAAACCTTCCTTCCTTAACTTTTTGTGTCAGGTATTTTATCACAGCAATGAGTAGAGTAACTAATATACTGCCTCTGCCACACCAAGTCATATATTGAAATCCTCACCACAAAAGTGAGAGCATTAGGAAACTGAGACATTAGGAGGTGATGGGTCATAGCAATAGAGCCCTCATTAATAAAATTAGTGTCTTATAAAAGAGGATCAAGACAGAGTCTTGCCTTTTCGACCATAAGGTGCTATCATCCAGAAATTTGCCCAAGAGGTGCTATCATCCAGAAAGTCAACCCTCATCAGAAACCAAATCTGTGAGTTCCCTGATCTTGGACACCCAGCTTCCAGAAATACGAGAAATAATCATGTTGTTAGCAAACTACCAAGTCTAAGGAAATTTGCTAAAGCAACTTGAATGGATTAAGACATTTTATCAATGTGTATTCCCTTAAACTGCCAGTTCAAATTCTTGCCCTCATCCCAACCATTACATGAGTGTCTACAGACACTTTGTGGTGAGTTATTGTGAGACACACAGGAAAGGATCCAGAGGAATGAGAAGTTCAGCTGTGAGTATACAGGAAGAAAACCTAAAAGCACCCATTTGCTAACTAACCATCTATCCGTACTGCCTAATGTTTCTATCACACATGAATTATTTTATAACAGTGTGTTTCTTTTCCAGGAAAATAAAACACTTAACAGCATTGAAATGGAGACTGGAACATTGAGATTTCCTATCCGGAATTATCTATGAGTCAAATTTTATGCCAATTGATTCAACAGGCCTGGTTAAATATGAAATGTCAAATACCAGGCTCCCTGAGGAAGCAGTTCTTTCTTTCCTGGTAACTTTGACTCATACTTCAAGAAATTGTCCAAGGAAGATATTTCCAACCCATACAAATTTGCAATTTCAGCCATGAAGTTGCAAATTTTCCATACCTGCATTTTTTTTTTTTTTAAGTGGAACCAGACAGCCGAACAAAATCAGTTTTAGTGTACAGGAAACATCCTGTAGTAAAGAGAGATTGACCCTAACTTCCCCTAGAGTCCCAAAGGGAGGAAGCATCCCTTCCACTATGCCTGGGTACGTAGTGAAAATCACAGCAGTGAGGAAGATCAATTCTGGACACAAACACTGAAACACGTCTGCAAGGAAGCCAAAGTGGCAGGTGTAGGGCTGAAATGGCTGCTTGCCACACCAGTGAAATGCCTGCTACCCTGCACATTTACAAGGGGTCTGGCCATGTTTCCAACACAGACCGAGGGATTTAGTTTTCCCCATATAAGGTAACAACAAGGATTTCAAATGGACCAAACATTTTATATTAGTGTCAGCAGCACTAATGCAGCTTCAGTTGGCAGAGAGCAGGGAAAACAGAGTATCTGCATTTTTTATTCCAGAGAAACTGCCTGAACACCATCTGTTCTCAGTCACCTTCACCACACCTAATATGGTGCTTTCTGCAAGGCACCACCACGCCTGTTGTGTCTCATGGCCCAACAGCTCAGGTTCCAATGTTTCCCCAAAAGCAGAGATTTAGAAAGTTAATTTTAACAGAGAAGCTGATAAAAGAGATTAGCTTTTAATGCTGCAAAGTACTATTGATTGCTCAGCTATCAAGAAACTCTATCCATCTATCATCTATCTATCATCTATATAAATATCATATATCTATCTATCATCCATCCATCTACCATCTATCTATCTATATCTTCCAAACTTTATTCTATGAAAGACTAAATTCAGTGCAACTGGGAGATGGAAAGGGCTATAGGACTGAATTGCAAGGGATAGAAATCAATATTCTTGAACTCTAAGAACTATGAACTAGTTCAAGGTCACAGAAATTGAATAGGAAAGTCTAACAAATTAGCAAGAGGAAATAGGTTGCACAGAACACAGAAAAAAACAAGTTTCCAACAAACCTATAAATCAGATAAGGTGTCAGCATTTGTGTCTAGTTAATTTTTACAGAAACATTGGCCTTTCAGTAAACAAATTTCTGACGCTGAGAAGATTAGAGAACTATACTAATAAATATAAAGACCAAAGGAGTATCCAATAGTGACTGTTCTTCTTTATTTGATCTATACAGATTGTAAATAGGAATATTAAAATCAGACCTTTCAAGAGTTTTCATTAAAAATAAAAATGACCCATTTGTATAGAAGTAATTCAAAATTTATTTATAAATTTGTCTATAAAAGTATAAGATATTTTTCCCTTTGATCACATTTGTAGTCTAGATTAAGAAAGTAGAGATTTAAATATAAAAAGACCCCAAAGCTTCTTAAAATCTGATGTGGAAATTAGTCAAGAATTAGTCTAGTGGAGAGACACAAGCCTGCAGCACCCTTAGCCCTCACCATTCTGAAAATGTTAAGTGACTCCCTTCCTCTAGCTTACTAGTTAGTATTGCTCTAATTATCTTTCTAATAAGAGGCAAAACTAATTAGAAAAATAAAGCAACATTTTTTTCTGGCAGTAGAGATTAAATATGTCAGTAATCAGCTCCTGAAAACATGCATAACTAATAGACAGAAAGTGGCCATCCCTAACTGCTCAGTTGAGTGGGTGGGCCGTTGGAGCTAAGGTATAAAGAGTAAAACTGAATAAAACTGCATTAAGGAAAAGCATCTCACGAAGTTTTTCAAGGTCAGCTGACGAAGGCCAGATGGAAGTAAATATTTCTCATATACCCTGAAAGAAAAAGTAAACAAAAATTACCACAAGCAGCAGAAAAATATTAAGAGCCTTTATAGTCCAAGATGAAATTCTGTCAAAGTATAGTCTTAGTGCATCAGGCTTATATAATCATTTTTAAATGACTAGTCCCTGTGAAGTGAAATGAATTTAATTTTTAGGTCACATTGAATTTGATTCATAACACGGTTGCTGTTGAGAATGCAATGTCTTGTCCAATGACATCTTATTGGTGATATGCTTAGAAATAGGCCAACATAGGTCACAAATAATAGAGTTCAGAAATGTGGGCACCCACCTCAGCAGTGCAGCAAGGACAGGATGTGGGGCAGAGCAATTGAAATGGAAATGTATCAAGTGGAGTCACACTGGATTATCCCCCAGGAAGGCACTTCTAAGGGGACCTTGAATAGACTGACTAATGAGTCTCCACCCCCATCATGTTCAAAGAATCATCCTTGAATAAAATTCTGGACCACATTATACAGAGAACTGTGTTTTAGCACTGTCTTTTAGCGCTCTGGGAAACTAATGTTAGGTTGCCCTATGGGTCATGGAAAACTCTTAACTGCCCTTGAAGACAAAGGATTTAGAGTTTCCTTGGCATCTCATAAGATATTACCTATTATCGTTAGAGAAAATATAATTTACAATGACTTTTAACACGTACAACACTAGGTGTCTCATGAAAATTAATATAGGACTTTAGAAAATCAAAATGCATTTTTAAAATATTAAAGAAGGGGCTGGAGAGATTACTTGGCAGTTCAGAGCACTTGCTGCCCTTGCAAAGGACCTGGATTCATTTCCAACTAACAGCCACCTGTAACTCCAGTTCCAGGGGATCTGACAACCTCTTCTGCCCTCCATGGGTTTGCATGCATGTGATACACTTACATACATACACACAGGCAAAACGCTCATACACATAAAATAAAGATAGATAAAATTTTAACAATGTATAAAAGCAATTTAAAATTATTTTAAAAACTATATATATTAAGCAATATAAGAATATGATTTAAATTTAAAAAATGTTTAAGAAATAAAAATCAACCCCCACAACTTTGCAAACAGTATACTGTCCATCTTTTGTGCCAAATAGTGGATGAGCAGTGGTGTTTCGGTTTCATTTTATATTTGTATTTATTTTATTATGATGACTTCATTGAACTATTTAGTTTCAAAGGGTTTTTGTTTGTTTGTTTGTTTGTTTGATTCCTACAAGTTTTAAATTTAAATCATATTCTTAT